CATGGTAAACAAGGCCTCGTACCTTTGTGACCTTCGGCAAGGTGTTTGTCTTCGTCGTTGGCGAAGGAGTATAAGGAGGGGGAGGGGATTCCCCGTCGGCAGGAGGAGTGGCCTTCCTGTCACTGGAATTGCTAGGGAAATCATTAAAGAACAATATTAGGTGATGTCAAAACTGTAATGGTTGTCTTTATACCATCATAATACGAAAGGATGATAAAACTGACAAAAGGACAACAGAAATAAGTATCAGTAACGAGGTAATCAAGAAACTGCCCAGAGACCCTTGTGCGAATTAGTATCTTGGTGCACGAGCCTTTATTTTCGGAGACATTTAACATTAAGGAAAACCGAAAACCTTACCTCTTGGAACGTCTGGGACTCTTGTGCCTCTTGGTCTTGGGCGAAGTGTACTTGATCTTGATCGTCTTTGCCGTCTCCACCTTGGTGTAGGGGATCTCCTTCAGCTCCGCCTCCGTAAGCCCCTGAGTCCCTTGCATCTCGAACTCGAGGTGTCGCCGCAGCTCGTCTGGCAACCGGCTGTTTTTGGCCTCCGAGGGTGACCTAGATCGTGACCTGGAATGGGCAAGATGGCTGATCGGGATACACATGGCAACTTGAGAGCGCTGATAACCCTAAACGGGGTATTATATTTCGATAATGTGCGTTTGGTGACCTCTAAACCCCCAAACTGCTCACACATTTCACGTTGCACACTCACAAAGCAACAATGTATACCCAAAATCCCACTTCTAATAGCTAACAGCGCCCAGACCATTTTCTTGAATGGAACATTCTCTGGCTCGGTTTGTCAGGCCGATGTCCTCTCCCGCGAACACCCCCCTCAAACCCGCGATTTCGCACCTGTGCTTCCTGTGGCGCTTCTTGTTGGAGTGTTGGTGGTGGTGCGAGTCGGCCTCGGTGTCGTGGCCAGAGGGCTGGTAGCCGCTCTTGTGGGTCAGGTCTCGCACGGTGGCGGTGTTGCCTCTGACCTGGCCCTGGCTGGCCTGAGCCTGCACCCACTGGGCGTCGTTGACCATGCCTCCACCGGACCTGAAGGGGGAGAGAGAACGTTCTGGGGTGAGATTTTTAAAACTTTTATGTTGCAGTATTTCCTTCTCATAGCGAATTATAAAGTAGATCGAATGATCAAGAATTAAATATTAAACTGGAAGCTTTGACTACCAAATACACCTAAATTTTGATAATAAAAGATAATCGACATACCTACTAAACACACTCAGTCAAAACGCACACTAACCATCCAAGTAAACACAAAATAAACGAAGAAAACAAAGCAGGCTCCACTCACTTGTGGCGGCGACGGCGGTGGCGGTGGCGGTGGTGATCGGAATCGTCGGAATGGTGACGGTGGCGGTGGCGGCGGTGCCCTCGCGACGAGCACTTACTGCTGGCCTCGCTCTCTCCATCAGAGGACCTGCCGCGGCTCCTGCGGTGCCTGTGGGAGGAGGGGAAGGGGGAGGAGCCATGAGGCGGAGGGATGCAGACAAGAGTTCTAGGGCCGAGTGATGAATGCATATGGGATAATATAAAAATAACCTTCTATAGGAGCAACTGAAAAAATACCAACAAATCAATAGTAATAATAAAAAAGCTCTGTTCCGTCCAAAGGTTATCGAGCGCCGTACCTGCGATGTCCCCTCGAGTCGACGGACGACTGGCTGTCGACGCTGGAGGTGCGGCGGGAGACCCTGTAGGAGTGCGAGTCGGTGGCGGGCGCGGCGGACCGGACCGAGCGGGGCGACTCTCCGCGCGAGGACCTGTTGAGGACGCTGCCGCCGCCTCCTGACGCAGCCACGCCGGCGGGGTACGGGGCGGAGCGGGTGCTGCGCGGGGAGTCGCTGCGGGGTGCCAGCGTCAAAGAGGCGCTCCTGTACATGTGGGACACCCTGGGAGGGGGAGGGGAGGGGTGGAGTAAGGGGAGGAAAGAGATAGAGTGAGAGAGAAAGAGTTACAGAGAGAGGGGGAGAAAGGGAAGCGTCATAAGAATATGTTAGAATTCAGTATATCAAATATGTACAAACGACGCGCATTATCCAATACGGCGCCAATCATATCGAAAGATTATAATGACGGCAATGCTAATGATATAACAGCACTACTACTAATACTAATAATAATGATAATAATAATAATAATAATAATAATAATAATAATAAAACAACACAAAAATAACAATAATAATAATAAAATGCAAAAAAAGAAGCGGCGGCGATGACTCGGCCAGCCGGAGCCCCAGCGACCTGAAGCCCGATACTCACGAGGTCACAGGCGTCGGCAGCTGCACGGTGTTCCTGGTCTCGGGCTTGATCTCCACGTCCTCCACTCGCGGGGCTGGAACAGGTCACGCTCAACACGTTAGGTCACAGCCGTCACGAGAGGTAATCAATGACATTCAAATCCGGGACCCATCGTGCATGCTTCGGACATGCTACATGTATATACACGGTTTCCCGTTTTCTTTTAAAATCTTAGATGACACATAAAATCTATTTGGATACTGGGAAGTTAAAAACGGAAAATAACCATCTACTCTTTCTCTCGAAATCGATAATAAATAGTGATAATAAAACGAAAAATGCATTCAAATGTAAAAATCCTAAACTTACAATACATCTAAAATACACAACAGGCATTCGACGAAAATGAACAACTCACCTTTCGTAATAATCCAACACCTAAATGGTTCTGAATGGTTGCATGAAGAAAAGGTTGTGAGCATTAGATATAAATTTCGAATCCTAAACACATTTTGAGTCACACTTGAACAAACTGTTTACCTTTCAACGCATTTAACACTACAATTTCAGCATACCATGAAGCGTGATGTGGTAAGATCGAAGTCCGTCGTCATATAAATAATCAATTATATGGATCAACCTTCGTTCACTTAATGTATTTATTTATCACAGAGGAATAATAACAAAAGAGTTAAAGAAAGAACGAAACAAAAAAATCACAAACACTCTTAGTACCACGACAAAAGACTACAATGGAAAATCCTCAGTAATTCAACGGAAAAAACACAAAGACAACAGAGGTAACGATAATTTACTTATCAATGACAATAAAAAAAAATCCTAATACATAAACAAATAAACGAATTGAACAAAACTAAGAAAAATATATAACAAGAAAGTTTCCCTAACTACTTTTAAGCTTCGTATCTCCACACAATTCGACAAGTACTTTCCCTACTTATACACTTACATTAAAATCTTTCTTTAAATGCTACGCGACCTGAGGCTCTTATCTATAATTACCTAATAGAAGAGAGCCATTAAGTAATCCAGTTCTGTCCTTCCTCCTAATTGCGTAATCGTTATTTAATTTGGTAATTACATATTTGTAAATGCTAAAAGTTTGGAAAGGGAAGAGAAAGAGTTTCCAAAATCAAAGTGGACGCTATAATCTCCAAATTCGTTGCGTTTTCCTCTGGAAACTACATCATTCTCCGTAGCAAATTCATTCTCCGCAAATGATACCAAACAAACTGACATAAAGAACCCACATTAGAAAATAAATTACAATGTGAAATAACCCCGCAACCCCTTCATCCTTAAGCCCCCCTCACAACTCCCTCACAGAACCCTTGGCTAAGAACGAGGATCAAGAAATGCACACTAAATAGGCTCAACTTACTATCCTGGGCTCCTTCTACGATGCGGCGCTGGTACCTTCTGCTGGGCATCCTTGTGAACTCGGGCTGGGTCCTTGCGCCTACCTTGGCCTCCTGCGCCGCCTCCTTCTCTGTCCTGCCGCTGAGGGGGGGGGGGAGGTTGCATGATGAGTAAGAATTCAGACAATAATGCTCTGAGAGCATTTCGTGTTAAACAAACAACAAATTCATGAAACAATAAAACGAGATATTACACTTTCCCTCGGTTTGTCTACACTCCTCACTAAATATGCATCGCAAGCATATTCAATCCAACAAAATTCATCACAGAGTACATTAAACGACATCATCCAAACCAGCCAAAGCACCCAAAAGCATTAAATTTCCTCCCGGCAGCGGATGGCACCGTCTGGCACCGCGAACACACCTGTACCTGAACTTGGATCCCAGCGAGAAAATGGCTGCGGGCGAATTTCCGGAAGCTTGCGTCAGGCGGAAGAAGGCATGGTGCTCCACGCAGCACTGCCACAGGTGCTTGCACGCAGCCTTGCTCGGCGTCTCGAAGCCGTACGTGTTCTCCGAGTTCTAAAACAAAGGTTGAAGAGATGATGATGATGATGATTGATGGCGAGAGGGATGATGGGAGTGAGTGGTGGTAATGGTGGTGGTGGTGCAGGGAGGAGGAGGAGGAGGAGGAGGAGGAGGAGGAAGAAGAAGAGGAATAGGAGGAGGAGTAGAAGGGGGAGGAGGAGGAGGTGCTAATGATGACGATGATTGATGATGATAATGTTGATGATGATCGTGGTAATAATGACAATTCATCATTCATTCGTGATAATGAATGGTGATAAAATAATTTACGAATACAGTACACAAACTTATATCCTTCATGTCCAGGAAATGAAAGTGTAAAAAAAAACTGTCCAACTTACGTTCTTGTCGCGCACCCTCAGCATGAAGAAACGTCCCCGGAAGTACACCTTGGAGATCCTCGGCCTGGGAAGAAACCGCATTTTATATCACTGCTTAAGTACTGCCTTATCTCTCATCTTACATATATGGCCTGTGAGTAAAAGCTACCTGTGTGTGTGCTTAAGTGCACGGTGTTTACCAGAACACATGATGCTCTTTGTTAATTGTGCGCGCTGAATTAGGAAGTGCGTATGTGTACACACACACACACACACACACACACACACACACACACACACACACACACACACACACACACACACACACACACACAAAAAAAAAAAATAAATAAAAAATAAATAAATAAATAAAATAAAATAAATAATAATAATAATAATTTTTAAAAACAGGATATTAGTTTAACGAAAGAATGAAATCGAGACAAGAGAACAACAACATTGCAGAAAGACTAGATCACAAAACACTGCACTGCAATAAAACAATAATGACGTGCGATAACTTGAAAGATTCGCACGGTAGAACGCCAAGCCCATTAACAATAACTAGCGAAGACTTGCTAAACCGCTTATTTACAAGAGCGCTTTTCCGCTATCCGATAAGCCGCTGTTATTTTATGAAACGCAAAATCGAGCGGAACGTAAACATAATTTATTCTGCACTAATCATTGCGATAACAGTAACGCAGGAAAAACTAGGAGAGAGAGAAAAGAGTAATGTTACTCTACATGAGGTGTTATTTTATTACGTTAGTTTAGTGATGAAGAATAATGACAGAAGACAGGAATACGGGCAGCCAACTACGAAAATGACAGAGCAAGTAACGCTACATACGTAAAGGCAGATAAGCACGTGGTAAGAACCGCGATCGACCTTTTAAAAATAAACTGGTGATAAAGTTATTGGTGTATTGTGTTGAAAGCTTCTGTATAGGATGTTATGGCCCAGAGATGGCCGTTCTGATTTAGGGTTGAACTGACTAAACTGCTTACGAAATGAAATTAACAGGGTCTTTGTCAATGCGATCAGTCACGACAAATAGGCTGGACATTTTATTCTTGAAAAAAAAAAAAAAAAAAAAAAAAATGTAGTAAACTTATGGGAAGGAGATTTGTATTTCTCAAGTGTTCTCTATTTTAAAATCGATTGACAGTTATCAAAGACATACAAAATAAGAGATACAAAGAGGAAATAAAGAGCCAGGAAAGTGCGCGAGCCCCTCCTAAAGGAACGAGACGGGAAGGCGTGCGGGAGGGGGGAGGGGGAGCGTTAAGTGGAAGAGCACTTAGAGCAAAGCATGGCGGGTACACCTGGCGAGGGAGTGGTGGTTACTGTCACTTCTTTTATAATGGGTAACAAAGATACAGGTGAGTACTTCGAGCGTGAAAAAGATACGAGTAATTGCTTTGGCTGCTAGCGAGTGTCGCCAGGTTGTGTTATAAACAAAGACTGTTCATCCACACGCACGCGCACGCACGCACATGCACACACACACAAAAAAAAATCTAGTGAAGTTCTTGCAGACATTCATACCCTCTAAACTCGTTCTGAAGAGTTCACTAACTCTTTAAAAATGTCCTTAAGCTAGCGACGACGGTTTTCCATTAAACTTCAATAACAATTTAAATAAATTATAATTTACAACGTCTCCTACAGATCCGTTCAGACTTAAATTTTGGGGTACTCGGGAGACTTTGATTATAGATGACATAAAACCTTTATAGAGGCAGTGACCCCGTCCTCTGCGGCTTAATTTGGATTAAGAAGACCTGAACCCCCGCGCACGATCGACGAGGGAATCGGACACGTCAAAACTGTCGTAAATTCACCGGAAGAAAAATCGTTGCAATGCCATCGAATCTAAAATACGCTTTTTGATAATATCTAGCAACAGAAGTCGTGTCTGATGTCGAGATGCTTGACAATAAGGAATGGAAAGCATTTTACTTCTATTCAAGTAAAGGATTGTCGACGTCGCTGCGTTCCCGCCAAAAACGGATTCGTATATATTTCTTATTTGCAGAAGCAGATCGTCTGATAATGGTAATAAGCTCAATAAAAGCGGCAAATGGGTCCACAAGGAAGCAATAAAACAATATATAATGACAGATATGGCCGCGCTGCCAGATCTGCATCATGGACCTCATCACCCAGCCGGTTATATGACCTTCTTGCCCACACCCCCTCCCTGTATAAATAGGATGTTTTTTTGTGTGTGTCTGTGTTAGGGGACACCAAAGGTACAAACAGATAAACAGATAAACAGATAATGAGTGTGAGTGCGAGAGTGTGTGTGTGTGTGTGTGTGTGTGTGTGTGTGTGTGTGTGTGTGTGTGTGTGTGTGTGTGTGTGTGTGTGTGTGTGTGTGTGTGTGCGTGCGTGCGTGTGCCTGTGAGTGAGTGAGTGAGTGAGTGAGTGAGTGAGTGAGTGAGTGTTTGTGTGCATGTGTCCGCTTAATCAAATACTTTTGTTAACAAATACAAATGAAAAGAATTATCATAAGATACACATACAACCCTCGCAGGCACCACCCCACTGGGTCAACACACACGCACACATACATACACACACACACACACACACACACACACACACACACACACACACACACTTAACCCACACACACACACACACACGCACACACACACACACACACACACACACTTAACCCACTACACACACACACTTAACCCACACACACACACACACACACACACACACACACATACACACACACACTTAACCCACTACACACACACACCCTCAGCGAAAAAATGGCACTTCATCCATCCCCAACAACGCCCCCCCTCCCCCCACGCAACGCAGCAACGGCCACGAACTCACCAGAAGTAGTTTCCCACTTTGGCCTTGTTCCGTAGTACGATGACCCCCGAGGGAGTCAGGCCGAGGAAGTACTCGATGTTGTCCTCGCC